CGAGACTCCGTCTCAAAAAAAATAAATAAATAAAAATAAAAATAAAAATATATAAAACTCCAGATAATAGTAATGTGGGCACCCAGGTTCAATGGGTAGTTAACTTTTGATGATCCTTATCATGTTTAGAAGGAATATAGAAATACTAAATAATTTTATATGTATTAAAATTTTAGAGTTAATTATATACTTTTTAAATCTAAAGGTAACCACGAAGAATAGAAATAAAAGCTTTAGCAAGAAGTTGGGGGGAGGGGGAAGTGCAGAAAGCCAAAGGCCAAATTTAAAAGAGTAGAAGTTAGTCCCAATATGCCAGAAATCCCAATAAACAGAAATACAAAAGCATTAAACACAACTATTTAAAGACATTCTCAGGTTGGGTTTAAAAACACAATCCAGACATATATTGAATACATTGCTCTTAGAAGCCATACATAAACTAAAACTATAAGAAAATAATGAAAATAAAAGAATCTAGAATGTTATTTCACATAAATACTTATCAAAGGAGAGCAAGTATGGCAGAACTAACATCAGATAAAACAGAATTTAAGGCAAAAAATATTTCTAGAAATGAAAACTGACACACTATATACATATGGTCATATTTCTTTCCTGAAAGAGTATATTGTTTTCCGTTTCCAGCAGCAAAGTGTATTATTCCCAACAAGCATTACAATACAGGGCAGTATCAATATCTTATTTATATTTACCAATTTGATAAGTAAAAAGAAAAACAAAAAACGAGTCTTTAATTGCTTTTTCTTTTCTTTTCTTTCTTTCTTTTTTTTTTTTTTTTTTTTGAGAGAGGGGTCTGGCTCTGTCACCCAGGCTGGAGTACAGTAGAGCAATCATGGCTCACTGTAGCCTCCACCTCCTGGACTCAACCAATCCTCCCACGTCAGCCTCCTGAGTAGCTGGGACTACAGGCACATGCCACCATGCCCAGCTAACTTTTTAAATCTTATGCCCAACTAATTTTTTAAATCTTTTGTAGAGATGGAATCTTGCTATGTTACCCCAGTTGTGTAATTTCAAAGCCCATATTCTCTCAAATGTAATCATAGTGACCACACAACAAAACAGATGTTCTGGAATCAATGGTGAGCTCCCAGCCAAGGGAGGCAGAAACTGGTAGTCCTGTGAGGGTTCAGGTGGACACTGAGCCACGGCCTGGGTGGCGACAAGGGCAGATGAAGGAAGACACAGTTCCCTGAGCTGACAGGCAGGGAGGCCAGCTATCCCAGGGCGTCTGACCAGAGGGCCCCAGCCCCAGGGCCTACATCTGTTCTGCGTGGCATGTATCTGAATTAATTCTCAGCAGTTTATTTAATTTCTATACAGCACAGTATTTACTTTCTATACAATTACCCACAAAGCTGTTCAGCGCCTGGAGGCACCAAACAATAGTTCTCTACAACCACCTCTGAAGGACCAATTGCCTTTGAGTTTCACACAAAGCTCTCATTAAAAACTCTTGACTGGAACTAGGTGGTTAGCAATTTCCAGAGAAATCTCTGATATATTTACCCTGGAAAGAAAGAAAAAGAGGAAAAAAAAAAAAAAAAAAAAAAAAAAGGTTTTCTATCAAATTTACTAAAATTGTTAATAAAAACCCTTTGAGTTTACTGAAAACAACTGAGTGACTAATTCACACCAGGCATTCTGCTGGAGACTTTCACACTGTGTTCTCAGACCTACTTCTCAGAAAAACCCCACAATTTTGGGCGTATCTTTGTCCTCATTTAACTGACAATCAAACTGAGTGCCAGAGAGGTTAAATGACTCGCCCAGCGTCAAAAGCCAGTAAGAGGACCATGCTTCAAACCAAGATTAATGAGCTTACACAGGGAAACCCTCAGGCAGCTCTGTTATTCAGAGTTATCAGCAGCATGGTTAAGACCAAAACTAATAGTTATAATTCCTCATGACCTAGCTCGGCTCATTGAGGATACTCTGAATGTAACAAAGACTTTAGAAAAAAACCATACATTATGATTAAAATGAGCAGAAATTTCAGATTCAATATTTCTAGTTGCATTCTGAAAAAACTGTATGCTTAGTTAACAATAACCACTTCTGCAAAGAGTAGACAGTTAATCATTTCACATAATGCTGGATCCAAGTGATATTATTCCCTGACAGACTGGGCTTCTGGTCCACATGCTTTTGCTGATGCAGCTGCTCTAGCCTGATGCTTTAGAACAGGCTTTTGATTTAGAGTTTGAAGTTAAAATTACTGAAGAGTTTTAAAAGCAGTACAAAAGCCATATGCATCTTTCTGTCACTATCTTAGAATACTGCTTCCATTTTTGCCCATATTTTTACTTGAGTGGCTGGAATTTAGGTGTAGATATACAGAATAGGAAAACTAACAGCAGAACAGGGAAATTATTACAAAACTATATGAAATAGTTTAAAGTTCTGAAATAAAACAGCTAAAAACGCTTTGGTATCGACACTCACTTTCAGAATAAATGAGTGAAGGTGTGAAGGCAGAAACGCTGACATTTGTTAGTGTGTTTTTTTCTATTTGCTTCCCCTGCCACAGCCACATCCTATCTACCATTATCTGTACATGCAGAAAAATGAAAACAGACTGAGCTTGCTACAACACACAAACAAGGTTTCCATTTATCTGGCCCCGTATAGCTCCTAGAAGCATTTTCCTAAGGAAAGCAATCACTTGCTGATGGGTTTAGTTTTTGTTTTAAAGCATTGACCCAAAAAGAAAATCTCTACGGAAGCATATCAGTATCTTTTAAATTCTTCAACAAGGAATTAAAAAAAAAAAAAAAAGGAGGAAATGCATTCCTGGTAATTCTGTGCCAGATCACTTTCATTGTAAATATTTTTTTTAAAAATAAGTAGCCTTAGAAACATAAACATTGCTCCTTTTTAGGCATCATTGTAAATATTTCTGCTATCTCAGGAGCAGCATTGCAAAAGGCCTCATGCTTTCTCCTTAGCAGAAAGGTTGGTCCGTCGCAGCTCCCATGGAGCTAAACAAACACAATTCAGGTACGTACCTTGTTATCTAAAAATACATTTCCCATAGGAAATGTGGTTAGATCAATTATATCCACAGATCACTCTTTCAAAGTCTTATTTTATCCTCATCTTTACCAAATCTTTTGCTAAAATATTGGGGGAAAAAAAATAAGCAAAACGGCATTGAGTTTCTCTTTTTCTCCTACTCAGTCTTTTCTTTGAAGAGTGGTGCTGGAGAGGGCTAAGATGTAAAGAGCATAAAGGAGGAACAGCAAGACTCCTAACTGAACACAAAAAAATAAGTAGTTAGCTCTTTGAATAATCTAAAGTTGACATATTAGAGAATTAGGCCTGTAATTTTCAGCTGTAAAAAACAGATCTACAAAGGTAACAAGCAGCAAAAAAGAAAAAAACAAAACCCTAAATAAGGTTCTGAAAAATGCTCCTGCTTCTTCCCACACATATGAAAAACATTAACAGCATGTAAAAAGGAGTTCTCTTCTGAGGTTTTACCCAAAAATCCTACCTGTGTCTCACTAAGGCTCCTGACTATTAAATGCCACCAGTTACCCTTGGTGGCAAAGTAAAATACAAATCAGTAGTTAATTGTGTGTTAAAAGAACAGCAAATTCTTTGAAGTTGTTCTTGAAGAAGCATGGGCTATCTAATTAAAGGATGTTTAAAGAACAAAAGAGGAGGAGGAGGAAGAAGAAGAGGGGGAGGAGGGCGAAGGAAGAGGAAGACGAAGAAAGGAGGCAGAGAAAAGGGAGGAAGATGGGGAAGAGGAGGAGGAGGAATAACAATGCAGGGAAAAACCTCTTTTTTTTTTTTTGAGACGGAGTCTCGAACTGTTGCCCAGGCTGGAGTGCAGTGGCGTGACCTCGGCTTACTGAAAGCTCCGCCTCCTGGGTTCACACCATTCTCCTGCCTCAGCCTCCTGAGTAGCTGGGACTACAGGTGCCCGCCACCACGTCCAGCTAATTTTTTGTATTTTTTAGTAGAGACAGGGTTTCACCATGTTAGCCAGGATAGTCTCGATCACCTGACCTTGTGATCTGCCTGCTTCGGCCTCCCAAAGTGCTGGGATTACAGGCGTGAGCCACTGCGCCCGGCCTGGAAAAACCTCTTACTGAAGATCAAGAAGCCAACTCAAGTTTCAAATTGAGTCTCATGCACACTGTTTCTCAAATAGAAACACCCATTCTGACCTGTTCTAAACTACATGGCATCTCCGGCTGGGAATACAGACCAAAATAGCCAAACCCAAGAAAGACTGAAGATCAAACACAAGCCAACTGCACTCAGGAGAAATTCTCTAGTATCTGCCTACAGAATACAATTAGCTCGGGTATACTACACTAAAAATTGCTTTCAAAGAACAGTTCAAAAACTGGGTTTCTTTTTTGCTGTCTATTCATAATAAAATGTTTGCAGAGATTTGACATCCTTTGATATACTTATATAATTTGTAACATACATAATGTCCATTCAACTTTATAAAGTAAATTTTAATCAAAGCTATATATATTTTCTGTGTAGAGCCTAGCGATTCAAAATAGTGAGAAACACGTCACAACAGTGAGAAACATGATACACAAGCAATATCTTAGTAAGCATAACCCCGATTTCTTTTTTCTTTTTTTCTTTTTTTGTATTTGAGGTCAACATAAGTAGTTTGCTCTCTCTGAAAAGTGTAAGTCAGTTGCCAAATGAAAATGGTATTCTTCAGCCTATGCCAGCAGTAAGTTCCTTAGTCTTCTTGCCTAGTCTTGGACAAGACCATTAACATTACTCAACAGCAACTAAAATCTTCACATCAATTTAAATATGTCTATCCTTGCCAACACTTTATGTCTAGAGTTGACTCTATAAATAATGTTGGGTGATTAGTAAGATTAAAATTGGACCTTCAACAATCCAATGTCAATGTTGCTATTCTTGGTTTGCATTTTAAAAAGCTGATGGGTTTGTTCACTTTATTCAAGTAAAAAATCAAATGAAAACCTCACCTTGTGATGCCCAAATTCATTCAAAATGCTTCCCAGTTTTCTGGTGTTGCTATGTGGTTTTTGGGCAGCAACAGCTGGATGGGGATCCCGCCAGTCAATGGACAAGCGGTGATACCAAAGGTGCTGACTCTCCAGAATGTGAGCTGACTTGACACTAGGATCAAAACGATGCACTTCACATCCATTGTTAGCCATGCTGACCTCAAAATGGGTATCATCACTTCCCAGCCTATAAAGAAAGAGGATGGAAATCAACAACTAAAAATGCGATGAAGCAAAGTGCTGGACTGACAAGATAACACTTCCAAGGCCAAAGTTCTTAGTTATATCAAGCCTTCTCTTGTTTTAACCCATGGCTAATATACACATTCAATAAACTTTCTTTCACAAAAAAGTATTATTGCTTAAAGCTTCTGGATGAAAGATAAATTATCTGCTAAACAAAGACCAGAGAATCACATACTCAAACATGTAGATGCAACATCAAATTGGCTTTTTTAAGTGATGTAAATCACAGTAGCAATGAAACAAAGAAGACTATCCAATAGTCTTAGATTTTCTCAGAATATGTCCAAAAATATAAGCCCCAGGATTAGTTCTCTTGAGGAGAGGTGTGTTCTACTAATGAGGTAATTTGTCTCCATTCTAATGGCCACAGTGCTGCATATGCAATTTGACTTAAAGACAACAGCTGTTTTCTTAGAAATGTAATATATTTTTAAATAGTGCAGATAAGAAAAAAAGCAAATGTATGTGAATCTGCTGCATCCAGAACGCAAGAAGCAGAAGGTTCCCTCACCTAAATTCACACCAAAAGGGGAAGAAATTATGAATTAATTGTACTTAAGTACTCAATAGGTAGACATCATATGGAAAATTATAAACTTACGAATATTGAATTGACTCAGAAATATTCCTTATTTAATGGTGCAAGGATTGTCACTTTGATTAAAGCACCAGTTTTTTGTTTGTTTGTTTTTCTTTTTGTTTTTTGAGACTGAATCTCGCTCTGTTGCCCAGGCTGGAGTGCAGTGGTGCAATCTCGGCTCACTGCAACCTCTGCCTCCCGGGTTCAAGCGATTCTCCTGCCTCAGCCTCCTTAGTAGCTGGGATTATAGGCGCATGGCACCATGCCCGGCTAATTTCTGTATTTTTAGTAGAGACGGGGTTTCACCACATTGGTCAGGCTGGTCTTGAACTCCTGACCTCGTGATCTGCCCACCTCAATCTCCCAAAGTGCTGGGATTACAGGCGTGAGCCACTGCGACCGACCTAAAGCACCAGTTTTAATGTAAAACATGAAATTAACTGAGAATGATTTTTTTAAATGGTGATTATGGTTTCTCTGCCCCAAATACTGTACTTATATGTGATTTAGGATACCAAAATCCCACAGAGTAGCTACACTACTTGGCCGAACCTAAACGCAGTGCAGAAACACTTCAATCTAGTAGATTCTACTACAGCTGACCATTGAACGACACAGGTTTGAACTGCGTGGGTCCACTTGTAAGTGGATTTTTTTCAATAAATACAGTCAGCCCTCCATAGCTATGGGTTCCATGTCCACAAATTCAACCAACATGGATCAGAAATACAGCATTGATGGGATGCAGGAGCCTACTGATATGAAGGGCCAATGTTTTGTATCTGTGAGTTCTACAGCCAGACTTGGTATTTCGTGGATTTTCGTATCTGTTGGTGGGGAGAGGGTGGCCTAGAACCAACTGCCAACCCCATACGGAGGGATGACTGATGATTGCATAATCTGGAAATACACAAGTTCAGCGGATAATAACTATTTACCTTATTTTAATTAACTAAAATAAGCCTTCGGTTCAGAGATCATCCACCTAGACAATTTTTTTTTTTTTTTTTTTTTGAGATGGAGTCTGGCTCTGTCGCCCAAGCTGGATACGCAGTGGCACGATCTCAGCTCACTGCAACCTCTGCTGCTGGGATTCAAGCAATTCTCCTGCTTCAGCCTCCCAAGTAGCTGGGATTACAGGTGTGCCCCACCATGCCTGGCTAACTTTTGTATTTTTAGTAGAGACGGGGTTTCATCATGTTGCCCAGGCTGGGCTCGAACTCCTGACCTCAGATGATCCACCCTCCTTGGCCTCCCAAAGTGCTGGGATTACAGGCATGAGCCATGGCACCCCACCTAGACATTCTTAATACAGGCAGCCCTCTGTATCCACAGATCTGATTCACAAATTCAACCAACTGCAGATTGAAAATATTCAAAAAAACAAAAATAAAAATAATACAACATTAAAAATAGTAGAAATAAAAAGCAATACAGTATAACCACTATTACATGGCATTTACATTGTATTAGGTATTATAAGGAATCCAGAAATGATTTAAATGATGCAGGAGGATGTGCATAGGTTATATACAAATATTACACCATTTTATATCCAGGACTTGAGCATCCTAAATTTTGATCTTTGCAGTGGTCCTGCAACCAGTCTCCATGGGTGTGGAGGGGTGCTGATAGTCTCATTTGCCTCTTCCTCACCCTTCACCCAACTACACTGCTCTTTTTCCCACTGCATCCCATGGTAAGTCAGCCCTCTGATGTCCCTAAGCCATAGCTTTTTCAACCCTTTTTGCCTAAAGAAAATTCAGCACTCCTCTCACAAGCACTTCCATTTCTTCCACCTAACAGATCTTGTTCCCTATTTTCTACCTCCTATTGAATCCACACAGCTCAGACCACTCAAGTCTCTGCCCCAGTTTTCCCCCAGTTTGCCATGATCAAATCTGATGTGGCAGATTGACTTGTTGACTCTGCTCCTTCAACCCTGCACCATCCACATTACTCCATGCTCATCATGAGAAAGAGTCTTTCCCTGTCTCTTGACTTTTTGGCTTGGCCATGTGCCTTGCTTTATGGAAGGAAGTGGGAGTATGCCAGTCCAGATCCTAAGCCTTGAGTGCTTCTGTTCTCTCTCTTACACTGTCATCATGATAAAAACGTACCCTGGAGAGTTTGCACTCCAGCCAGTCCGCCGGCCCTCTGTAAAATACAGAACCTCCCTTAGCCATCTCAGCTGAATACTATAAACACCTCTACGCAAATAAACTAGAAAATCTAGAAGAAATGGATAAATTCCTGGACACATACACCTTCCCAAGACTAAACCAAAAATCCTTGATGCAAAAATCCTCAATAAAATACTGGCAAACAGAATCCAGCAGCACATCAAAAAGCTTATCCGATAATTGGCCTTCATCCCTGGGATGCAAGGCTGGTTCAACATACGCAAATCAGTAAACGTAATCCATCATATAAACAGAACCAAAGACAAAAACCACATGATTATCTCAATAGATGCAGAAAAAGGTCTTTGACAAAATTCAAAAGCCCTTCATTCTAAAAACTCTCAATGAATTAGGTATTGATGGGACGTATCTCAAAATAATAAGAGCTATTTCTGACAAACCCACAGCCAATATGATACTGAATGGGCAAAAACAGGAAGCATTCCCTTTGAAAACTGGTACAAGACAGGGATGCCCTTTCTCACCACTCCTGTTCAATATAGTGTTGGAAGTTCTGGCCAGGGCAATCAGGCAGGAGAAAGAAATAAAGGCCATTCAACTTGGAAAAGAGGAAGTCAAATTGTCCCTGTTTGCAAATGACATGATTGTATATTTAGAAAACCCTATCGTCTCAGCCCAAAATCTCCTTAAACTGATTAAAGCAACTTCAGCAAAGTCTCAGGATACAAAATCAATGTGCAAAAATCACTATACACCAATAACAGACAAACAGATAGCCAAATCATGAGTGAACTCCCATTCACAATTGCTTCAAAGAGAATAAAATACCTAGGAATCCAACTTACAAGGGATGTGAAGGACCTCTTCAAGGAGAATTACAAACCACTGCTCAATGAAATAAAAGAGGACACAAACAAATGGAAGAATATTCCATGCTCATGGATAGGAAGAATAAATATCATGAAAATGGCCATACTGCCCAAAGTAATTTATAGATTCAATGCCATCCCCATCAAGCTAACAATAACTTTCTTCATAGATTTGGAAAAACTACTTTAAAGTACATATGGAACCAAAAAAGAGCCCACATTGCCAAGATAATCCTAAGCCAAAAGAACAAAGCTGGAGGCATCATGCTACCTGACTTCAAACTATATTACAAGGCTACAGTAACCAAAACAGCATGGTACTGCTATCAAAACAGAGATATAGACCAATGGAACAGAACAGAGCCCTCAGAAATAATACCATACATCTACAACCATCTGATCACTGACAAACCTGACAAAAACAAGCAATGGGGAAAGGATTCCTATTCAATAAATGGTGCTGGGAAAACTGGCTAGCCATATGAAAGCTGAAACTGGATCCCCTCCTTACACCTTATACAGAAGTTAATTCAAGATGGATTAAAGACTTAAATGTCAGACCCAAAACCATAAAAACCCTAGAAAAAAACCTAGGCAATATCATTCAGGACATAGACATTGGCAAACACTTCATGTCTAAAACACCAAAAGCAATGGCAACAAAAGCCATAATTGACAAATGGAATCTAATTAAATTAAAGAGCTTCTGCACAGCAAAAGCAACTACCATCAGAGTAAACAGGCAACCTACAGAATGGGAGAAAATTTTTACAATCTACCCATCTGGCAAAGGGCTAATATCCAGAATCTACAAAGAACTCAAACAAATTTACAAGAAAAAATCAAACAACCCCATCAAAAAGTAGGTGAAGGATATGAACAGATACTTCTCAAAAGAAGACATGTATGCAGCCAACAGACACATGAAAAAATGCTCATCATCACTGGTCATCAGAGAAATTCAAATCAAAACCACAATGAGATACCATCTCACACTAGTTAGAATGGCTATCATTAAAAAGTCAGGAAACAACAGGTGCTGGAGAGGATGTGGAGAAACAGGAACACTTTTACACTGTTGGTGGGACTGTAAACTAGTTCAACCATTGTGGAAGACAATGTGGCGATTCCTCAAGGATCTAGAACTAGAAATACCATTTGACCCAGCCATCCCATTACTGGGTATACACCTAAAGGATTATAAATCATGCTGCTATAAAGACACATGCGCATGTATGTTTATTGCAGCACTATTCACAATAGCAAAGACTTGGAACCAACCCAAATGTCCATCAATGATAGACTGGATTAAGAAACTGTGGCACATATATACCATGGAATAGGCCTA